ATTGATCCACCTTGCTTTTTTTTTTCGTCATCTTGCATTTTTACATGTTTATTATGCTATATACTATATATTTGTATCTTGTATTTATTTTTTGGGTTATTAGCACAAATGGTCTCCAACCTATTTAGTAAGTGATAGTTTGGTTTCCAACCTTTTCCTATAGAAAATCGATCCCCAACATTTCAAAACAGGTGCAATTTGATCATTTCCATCAAGATCCATCCAAAAGCTAACGGGAGAAGGCACATGACCCATCATGTGACCATCTTTTTTTACTAAAATGACTGAAATGCCAAAAAAAAAAACAAATTCATCACCGACCATCACCTCCACCAAACCACCACCACCATTACGGCCACCATCATTATGGCCACCATCACCAAGACCACAACAACCAATATCAACCCAACATCCACCGTTCACCATCTCCATCACCATCCTTTTCTGAGCACCACCATAACTCTTCTCATCACCACCATCATTACAGTCACCCATACTCATCAACACACGAATATGAACAAACCCAGATCTACACTCACCAAACAAGCCTGATTTTGGAATTGAGGTCATTCCACACCTGCTCGTGCCTCAGCCCTCTATGGAGAGCCTTTATGATGTCGTTTGCAATCAGCATCACGCAGACGCTCTCCAAGTGAATCCCTGCAGAATCTTCCCCTTGAAAGCCGTCTTCATTTGCTCAAATTGGGTCTCGCCGAGCTTTCTGTCCATGGGCTTTGACAAGAGCACGAAATGCCTTCGTTTCGTATAAGGAACTGTCTCCAAGTTGCCGAAATAGACAGTGAACAAGTCGCCGAGCTTTCTTGCTGCTTGTCCCAAGTACGTATAAATCACCCCAATTTGACCAAGGATGTGTTTTTACACATATATCCTAACTTAATGGGTCACGTGGGCGGTCAAGTACCTTCTCCCGTTAGTATTTAGACGGATCTTAATGGAACCAGATTGCATTTGTTTTAAAATGTTGAGGATCGATTTGTCAAAAAAAATATTAGGGGCCAAACTGTCATTTACTAAATAAGTTGAGAATCATTTATGCGAATAACCCTTCTTTTTTCAACTTTTTGTATTCAACTATCATTACATACGGAATTTTGTTGATTTTCGTCCGATCATCATTTTATATAGCTTTAGTTCCATAAATTTTAATAGGCTACAATATTATTTTAAAAAAAGTTATGATATTTTTTTAAATTAAAAAACAAGTTTAAATTGTATAATTATTGACCAGCAAACAAATTGGTTATAATTATTAAAGTTTGCATCTATACCATTGGAAATGTAAATATTGTACATGTACAAGATGAGAGCAATAATCTGAAACGATATTCTTTTTGTTAAAATATTATTAATCATACTCGAATACTGGATAATAATTTCAAATTGAATTTTTATATATATAAAAAAAACACACACACACACACAAGATTAACAATGTTGTTGTTACTGACGCGATGTGGCTAAGGCACGTCCCTCAAACTAATTATATAATAGTGCAATACTTTCTTTGATCTGAATAATTGTGCTATACTTTTCTAATGCGTGATGACTTCCTTGGCTCGGTTGGTTGAAAAGGAAAACTAGAAAGAAAAGGGAAAAAGTACTTGGAGCACCGATTCTAAACGCTATCAATAACAGGAGGTGGATATTTTATACTGCGAAATTCATTTTTTATTAATAAATGATGTTTATTATATTTTCTATTTTATTGTAAATTTATTACAAAATATAATATAAAATAATTTTAACACATGCTAATATTAATGCTAAGGTCAATTGTATATAAGTAGAATTGTATTATATAATTTTTAATACAAATGTTAATGTTAATTATATATTTAGTATTAAAAAGTATGATATGGTAAGTTATTTTTATTTTTGCTATAATGCATAATACTATTTAAAATGCTAAATCTATTTTTTTATAATTATTAAACTTTGAAAGTTGTACAAGTATATTTTTATTTTTATATTAATTAGAAAAATACAAAAATTGCAATGATCAAATGAAAAAAATAAACATTTCAACCAATAACAATCAAATTATAAATTTTTCATATACTATACTTGACGAAAATTTAAAATAAAGTATTAATATATGAGAAATTTAGCACAATAAATAATATTTTATTAAATTTACAATTGAAACAACAATTACAACATTGCATTGAAAATGCTTGTTTTCCACAACAAATACAAAATGCTAAATTATGTGCGTGTTTGGAACCGTTTTTAAAAAAAAAAATTACGTATTTCGAGAAGTAAAAAATAAAAATGAAAACAAATAACGTTTGTTTAGCAAATATTTTGAAAACGAAAATAGTGAGAATGGTTTTTGTAAAAGAATTAGAAAACAGTTGAAAGTTATTTTCACTTTTCTGTGTTCATTTTTTAGTACTTATCAATAATATTATAATATATTAATTAATAAACACGATTTCACTTTTTTATTATACTCAAAACAATCTCTTAAAAACCAACCAAACGTAATTTCATAATCGGTCTCAAAATGATTATCAAAACATCTCATTTTTATTTTTTTATTAAAAACAAAATCATTTTAAAATCAATTCCAAACACACTCTATAAAATTGCATTTGGAATACTTTTAATTTTTTAATAACTATCTATATTATCGCCTTGTTACCATGAAAAGCCACCTTGGAAAGATTAAAAAGAAAAAAAAATAAAAAATAAAAGGGTTAATTTCAATAATAGCACTCATGAATAAATTATTATTAATTTTAGTATCACTTTTGTATACTTTCACAATTAGCATTATCATGTTAGCAAAAGTGTGACCATACCGTTTTTACTTGAGTTAAAATGAAAATTGTGCCCTATTTCATTTTTGAAGCTGTGAATATATTTTGAAACCTTTTATAATTCAAATATTCAAAGTAGAGAGAGGAGGAGGAGAAAGAACGCGGGTGTTCACAAAGACCGAGAAACCCCAACGACCACCACCGTCTACTACCTTGAGCACCGACGAACGCACGACAGCGAGAACCACGCAATCACACGACGAGAACCGACGAACCTTCACCGGAGAAATCAACGCCTAAACCTCTTCATTGGAGAAGAATTAACTGAGGAAACCTCACCCTCTTCGCTGGAGAAATCAACCACAAAACAGAGAGGTCAATGACGGATTCCGAGACAAAGGTGAAAACATTGTTGGCTTTTCTTGTTTAATTGTTTTTTTTTTGTTAGGTATTTATTATTTTTTTCTTTTACCATTTTTGTCATCTTAGAAGAAAAGAAAGGCTTTGGAGGAGGATATAAAAGCATATAAGGTCAGTTATTTGAAATTTTTTATTGTCATTATGCTCCTTATTTGGTCTGTGACTCTGCCTGATGGCCGGTCATATCATTATGACCGATCGGTAAGTGTATTATGACCGGTCGGTAATTGTATTATGACCGGTCATAAGACAGGTACAACTTGCGGTCATAGTACTATGACTGATGGTCATAATCCTATGACCGACCATCAGGCAGGCAGGCTCATAGTGTGACTGCCTGACTGATGAGCCTGCGGTCATAGCATTATGACCGTTAGTCATAGTACTGTAACCGCACTATGTGACTGTCTTATGACCGGCCATCAGTCATAACACTATGAGCGAGCCTGCATGATGGGTGGTTATAGAATTATGATCGTCGATCATAATACATGACTGCCCAATGGTCAGACTCTTAGTGTGCCAGTCATATTACTTTGGCTAACAACTTTGTTTGCTTTTCTTGTTTTTTTTACCATTTTTTGTCATCTTAGAAGAAAAGAAAGGCTTTGGAGGAAGAGATGTCGTTGATAGAATGTGACATTATAGTTAGACGATATCTTCACAGGAGTTTCCCCGTCTTTAACAACATATTTTAAGGATAAACTTTTTCTTGTGGCTGAATCCTAAGCACATTTCTCACCAAATCTATAAGACCAATATAAGTTGTGTTGGTGGGGACCAATATCCTCTTCATTTTACAATCGACGTATCTCAAAGCACGGTCCCAATGTCCATTGTACTTGATGAAGACATTCAATCCAATAGCCATTCCTAAATAATTTTAAAAACAATAACTGTTAATCAACATGCAATTACTCCTAGTTGTCATCGAGTCATTAGAAATGACCAGTTATAACACCGTATAATGGCCGGTTATAAGGCAGTTATCGTGCCAGTCATAACACTATGGTCATTTCAGTCATAATATTATGACCGGATGGTCATATCACTATGACTGTCTTATGACCGGTCATAATACTATGACCGGCTATTTTGACTCATACTATAATAATTTGACTCATAGATAATGACCCATACTGTTATGACTGACTGATCATAGTATTATGACCGGACATATAACACTATGAGTCATAATACTATGACTCCCAATGTCAACTATGTCTTTGACGTGTTGGTCGTTACAATCAGTTTACAAATCAGTTATAAATAATCTAAAATCTCAAATTGACGAAAGATATTTTCAATTCCTATCACATTAAGTTCAACACAGTCATTTTTTTCGAGTTCTATGTACTAAGTATAAATTTAAAAAGACAAAAACAGAAGAAAAACAAAAAAAAATGTGTACCAACCTCAATCTGGTGCACAACTGGAGTGTTGGCGACGAGGGAATGAGGGCGTAGGAAAGAGAGAGACCGAGTAGAGAGAGGCCAAACTTGAGAGAAAGAGAGAGCTGAAAATATGGTGTAGAGAGAGAATGAGCAGGAGAGAGTTGAGAGTCTTTTTGAGGTGTTTTTAAATGATAATTTTGACTTAAATGACATAGAAGTCATTTTATCTTACACTCTTAACATAACAATACTAATTGTGAAAATACACAAAAAATTAATAATAATTTATACAAGAGTGTTATTATTGAAATTAACCCAAATAAAAATAAAAATAGATATGGTGGGGAAACACAAATGGGGCTATGAAACCGTGGCTTCCCGGTCCCCCTCTTTGTCCCTTTCGTCAAACACCACAATTAGATTTCACATTTCTTCTTCTCAAACTCTCTCTCTCTCTCTCTCTCTAAATTCTCTCCATCATTTGTACAGAAAAACCAGAAACCATGACAAGCTCCTCCGCCAACGCTCGGAAGGTTAGCCATGGCCTCTTCTCCTTCTCACTATCACCACGGAGAAAAGATTTCCTTCTTTTCAATTTTCGATTTTGATTTGGTCTTTTGATGATTTCGGATTTTTATTGGATTCGGTTGATTTTTCCAGGCTTTGAGTAAGATTGCGTGCAATCGCCTCCAGAAAGAGCTTCTGGAGTGGCAGGTTAACCCTCCGGCGGGTTTCAAACACAAAGTCACCGATAATCTTCAAAGGTCCTTTTAAAAAAAAATTATTTAGGGCTTTTCTCTCTTTTCACCGATCACTGTCGTTTTTCTTTCTCCACCTAGGAAATTCGGTGAAAAGTAGCGAAATTTTGTGAATATTATCCTTTGTGATGTTTGTACTGGTGGTATTTTTATCAGTTTGTTTTTACTCTTGTTTTTTTTTTTCTCTGGAAGCAAACATAGGTTTTGGGGATTTTGTTCTGTGTAAATTCCCATTTGAGTTTTCTTTGATTTACGCTTCAATTACTTATAAAAATGTTATTTTGCGTGAATTTTGATTTAAAAAAAGGTGGGTTATTGAAGTTATTGGAGCTCCAGGAACTCTTTATGCGAATGAGACTTACCAGCTTCAAGTAGATTTTCCAGAGCATTATCCAATGGAGGCCCCGCAGGTTTGTTGGTGTATTTTTGTAGATTCTCTTCTCATTGGATTAAGATTTGTATGTTGGTGAATGTGATTTTGTTTTATTGTTTTGTGTACTGAACAGGTTATTTTTCTGCACCCGGCTCCCTTGCATCCTCATATTTATAGCAATGGTCATATTTGTTTAGGTAAGTTTCTGGTTCTTCCTTTAGTTGGTGTTTTCTCCTTTTCTTTTAAATTTTCGTATTGTAATGATATCTGCTTTGCTTTCAATTCTTTCTTTGATTTCAGTTCATTTACTTGTGATGGAAATATTCTCGTCTTTTCTTATGCATTGCTTACGTTCACTCTTTTCTTGTTGAAAGACGAAAGTCATGCTTGATCAGGAAACATTGGTGCGTTTGGAATTGGTTCCAAAACGTTTTTGTTTTTTGTATGAAAATGAAAACGAAAACGTTTTTATTTTCATTTTGAAATCATTTCTGAAAATGCGTTTGGTAGTTTTATTCCGAAATTATTTTCAGTTTAAAAAAAACTGAAATTGTGTTTAGTGGTTTAATTTTTAAAAACTAAATTAATAATATTAAATATATTAAATAAATAATAATATTAAATATATTAAATAAATAATAATATTAAATATATTATATAAATAATATTATTAAATATATTAAATAATAATATATTAAAAAAAGGGTTGGGGGAGGGGGGCTGCAGTCGGGGGGGTGGTGGGCAGTCAGAGAAGAGAGAGAAGAAAATGAAAAGGAAAATGAAAAACGGAAAAAATGAGTTTTTGGGAAAAATCCAAAAACGCTTACATTTTTGGTTTTGATACAGATTCTTCCCAAACACATTTTCATTTCCTGTTTCAATTTTTCCTCCTCGGAAAACGTGAAAAACGAAAACGAAAATGGAAACAAACGGGCCCATTAATTTTCTTTGTTTCCTCTAAGTGGTTAAATTTTATTTTTATTTGTATTTATGTTTGCTTGTCGTTGCCAGCTGAAAAATGTTGCAATTTCTTGAGATTTCTTTTTTGGCAAGAGTAACATCTGTAAGGAATAACATGATTCTTTTTTTCGATAACTAAATATCGGAAGCAAGAGGCAGGACAAATGGTGTGTGTGTGTGTGTGTGTGTTAAGAGTTCTTCCTTTTTTTAAGCATTTTGTAAGTAGTTTCTTCTGTTTTGATTTTAATCTTGATCTTTCTAGGCCCAATGGACTTTTGAATGGTCCAAAGGTTTTCCATTTTTTAAATTGGAAATGATAAAATTTATGATTGTAAACTCTGTTATCAAGGAACAGAGTCAATTTCATAACTCAAGCCTCCACCCAAATCGTTGCAAAAGTGAACAATAACTAAAAAGGGCTGCTTTAAAGATGCTTCGACTGTGGGTACGGCTTCATATCATTGTGGCTGGCTGAATATGAAATGTGATAAATAAATGTTCTCTCTTTTCATGTCTGTTCCAAATAAATGTTTAAATTATTTGGAAAACATGATGCTGTCATTATCAGATGATTCCTAAAAGCCCTCTTCCAATTAAACTGAAAGAAGAGTATCCCCTTCCTGTCCATTCCAGACAGCAATCACATGGACCACCTGTGTTTTTTTGGAATCACTGTTTTCCTAACTGAACTTGCTTCCCACATCTTTACTTTGATCTACAAAGTTGGCATGTTATATATTGATTTACATATGTTGAATTTTGCAGATATTCTGTATGATTCATGGTCACCAGCCATGACTGTAAGTTCAATCTGTATTAGCATTCTCTCCATGCTGTCAAGCTCGACTGTTAAGGTATTCATCTTGTTTCATTAAATATACGACGTCTTTTCACAGTCTCTATCTCCAAGCATTAGACTATCAGTCTGCCATAAGTTCTACTGAACTACTGAAGGCGGGCCTTGGCACCATGGTGGGAGCGCTCGTGTTTGCACCCGGGGTCCTAGGTTCGAATCCCGGAAACGGCCTCTCCTTCGGGGGTAAGGCCGCGTACATATGAGATTGAGCTTTCCCCCGAGCTTGTCATAGTACAGGAGCCTCTTTGGCACCAGGGTCCGCCTTTTTATATATATATTTGCGTAAATAGACGTCATGTTCTTAACTTTTCAAGTACCTAACTTTTAAGATTGTAGAACTGAGAGGACATGCATATTAAGGTCACCTAACTTGTAAGATTGTAGAACTGAGAGGACATGCATATTAAGGTCTTAATGTGAGTTTTTCATGGGGTAAGAGACGGCAACATCCTATGCTATTGCATTAACCCTTCTGATGATTGATATTATGCTTGCAGCAACGCCCTGAAGATAATGACCGCTATGTAAAGAACTGTAGAAACGGCAGATCTCCTAAAGAGACGAGGTGGTGGTTCCATGATGATAAAGTATGATGAACATGGCATTTGTTCAACAAGTTAGAGTAGTTGACTTTCCTTTTTTTAAGGAACGTGAACAAAACCAAAGAGAAAATATCAATATGAAATGCCGGGGTTATGTCCCTTATTCTCAATAACTTGTGTATATTGGCAATGCCTGGTACTTGTAAAGGAAGAGAAACAAGAGCTTGTGTAAACCCTTTTTAAGGGAGAGGTACTTGCCATATAAGCTCATGAATTAAAGCCTTAATCCTTCTGTGTTCACTGATAATGGGTGTTGAAATTAAAACACCCCCTAATTGTATGTTGTGTGGTTTAGAAAGCATGAGTTTTGTGTATGTCTTATATCTCTCGTAATCAGGACCTCTTAATCAACCATTTGCTCGTGTGGTCGTCCTCTAGAATCCTCTGACAATTCCTTTCTATTGTACTTTCATGTCCTATTAGCTAGTAGAGAACTTATCCGTGTTTGAGATAGAATTTTGAGACATTAGCTAGTCTATAATAATTATACATCTTCAATGCTTACTATTGCTGTGGAAAAGGGTCTCAAATCATGCTAAATTTTCGGTAATTAGGTTGGAAGCCTTGGAAAATTGTTGGGAATCGATGATCACGAGTGTGACAATGTCGTTATAGCATGTATTACAGCATGTTCCTTGAAGAGAATGGCTTTTCCCGTATGCTGGTGACAATTCATAATTCAGCAATTCGTATAGGAATTAGTGCGTGTGTGAGAAATGTCTTGACGAAGTGGAAGCCAAATTTGTGTATCATTCATCTTTAATGTTTTGGAAATGCCTCTTATTCTCAGTTTGTACTTTTGAGTGCATGCAAAACTTCCTTTCTATGGACATCTCTTGTACATAAAATTGGAAAATGATTCAAAGATAATTAGATATGGGCATCGTATCTTGTTGAACTTGTGCTGATGAGACTTGAGAGTACTAAAGCCTAATTATTCAACTCAAGGCTTCTCTTTGGAATCATCACAGCTTAGAAAGCAAGTCAAATCATCAAACATTTTCTAATCCTCTTGGTCCAACATTCAAGTTTTTTTTCTTTGACTTTGCCCCTTGAAACCAATTATCTTCTTATTTTTGTTAAAACAAGCAATATAGAATTCAATATAACCCAGATAGCCTACTTCTGTGATCTCTCTGAAATTTGACAAAAAAGGAAAATCAATGAATGAGGTAAACCACCAAAGGATCAAGAGCAACGGGATATGGATACACATAGCAGAGATAGGGAGTGGTCCACTAGTTCTATTGCTTCATGGGTTCCCAGAAACCTGGTTTTCATGGCATCATTAGATCAACTTCTTGGCTGATCATGGCTACCATGTGGTGGCACCAGATTTGAGAGGCTATGGGGACTCCGACTCTCCTCTCAGCCCACGCTCTTACACTGCTTTTCACATCGTCGGAGACCTCATCGGAATCATTGACCACTTTGGCCAAGAAAAGGTAAAAAACAAGCCTTCATATCTGATGTAATCTCTCTCTCCGGGTTAATATTTGTTTCATGTGTAAAAAGGCATTTGTGGTAGGAGCTGATTGGGCAGCGGTTGCTGGGTGGCATCTAAGCCTGCTAAGGCCTGATAGAGTTCTCAGTTCTGGGGTTAGTTGCTTTATGTGTTCCATACTTTCCAAGAAATCCAACCACTAAAAGTACTGAATCTCTTAGACAAACTATTGGGGATGGGTGTCATGTGATTCAGTTCCAGGTACCCTTTTATTTTATTTCATTTTTTTGTCTCCTATTGGATTTCATTAATTGGTGGATACACAGTTTGCTACTAAACAAGCATAAGTAGTTGAGCAATGTCGCATAACGTTTTTAACTAATCGCGAATTCACATGTCAAATTTGCAACTCAAGTGTCTTTCTAATTGGTTTCATCTTAGGGTGTTTTTGACTAATAAGGAACCGGGAAGAGCTGAGAGGGCGTTTGCGAGGTATGACTATTTGACAGTGATGAAGAAGTTCTTGCTGATGACGGACAGAAAGATGGTAGCTCCACCGGACATGGAGATCATTGACTATCTGAAGACACCCTGGTCAGTGCCATCATGGATAGCCGAAGAGGAGCTCGAGGTCCATGCTGATGAGTTCGAAGAATCCGGCTTCACTGGTCCTCTCAATTACTACCGCTCAATGGACCTGTAAGTTCTGTTGTATCATCACAAGTTCATAGAGATGGACTTCATTATGACAAACCTAGCTATAGACTTGGTAAACGTTTTATCTTAAAAGAGTAAGAATTTATTAGGCTAAGGTTTTCTTAGATTTTTACTCATCACTACTAGAAAAGTTCTGGTAGGTTGTGATTAGAACCTGACAATCTTTCGCGACACTTGAAATGGACAACAGATTAGTAGAACTTTTGACTGTCATCTATCAACTTCTTTTTTATGTTGTATTTGAAAATTCAGCATTGGAAACTAATAAATCTATCAAATTATATCTGAAGTTCCTTCATTTCTTCCTCTCTATAGCCAAAATTATTGAAAGAAATAAGTCAAGAAATTTGTTCGGTATTAGCATGAGTCTGCTTTAAACCGATATTTGTGGGAATGATAAACAGGAATTGGGAGCTTCGTGCACCCTGGCAAGGATCGAAAATCACGGTGCCAACAAAGTTCATAGTCAGAGACAAAGATATCGGTTTCGAATCTCTTTTGATAAACATTCTATAGCTCGACGAAAATTTCTGTCAGTTTGTATGGCAATTTCTGTTTTTCTTTGCTGTAATAATTTTTACCTGCAATATATCGAAGATCTTTAGTGTGTGTTTTGGGGCTTAAAAAATAATAATAATGGGATGGGAATGATGTCATGGGGGTATGGCTTGGAGTCATTAAGTACAACTAATGCCTCAAATTAAGAACCCACATCAGTATAATTGTGCTGACAATTTAAGATACTCTTTTTCGGATGACAATTATTTCTATTGAGAATTTAGTAATCCTTGAAACCAGTGCTAGAGTTAAGATTTTATTTTAGTGAGCACACAAACTAAAAATGTTAAAAACGCTATCAAAATCAACTCCTTATACTATTGAATTTTTTTTAAAACATACTATTAATTAGTTGAAAGCATGTTATGTACATGTATATTGATTAATTTATTGACCTTTTTGATACGTGAATTTAAAATTTTAAAGAACTTGAGTTTTTTCTTGTTTGAATTTATTACTCTCCTAAGAGTTTAATTTAGTAAAAAGAATATATTTGAGTAAAATGGATTAAAATGCGTGTTTCAATCAAAATATGCTTTTAGATGAATATTATATATGTATAGATGAGTAGAATATAAATATCATGTAAAAAGTTTGACAATTCATTTAATCATTTCTGATTATAACTTAGGAAAAACGACAATACAGATTATAACTTGGAAAAACAACAATTGTATTGTGTGGTAACGAGTTAAAATTATTGTAATTTGAAACATAGTGCCAAATTACGTCGTTAACGGAGAATCGGCCACGAAATAAAGAAACAAGAAGTAACAGTGCAGTGTAGGCAGTAACACAACTGCCGGAAGAAGATGTGCTCTGTGCAGTGTAGGAAGGAGTGGGGGCAGCCGCCCCCACTGACTTTTTTAAAACTAAAATTTGACCCTTTAAAATTTTTAACATTTTAATTTCGCCCCCATTAAAATTTAATATTTTTATATAAGCCCCCACTAAATTTAGTTCCTTATTTTATTTCAATATGTCTTCTACCAACAATTTTACTCATTTATATATATGAGAGCCCTTTTTTTTCCTTGCATTTTGAGATTAAAAATCAATTACTTCATATCTTGAATTTCATCTCATTTATAACTTTACATTTCAAATCATGTTAAATACTTACTCATTTTCTGTCAAAAATTTTATTTTGGCTATAAAAAATACCAAATATCCTTTTTTCCCTTATTCTTTCTATTTTATTGAGGGTGTTTTGGTCAAAATTAACCGGTGATTGATGATTCGATAAAAAGTAAGAATTGAACATAAGCTTAAAATCTAAAGTTATAAAAAAGATAACCTCCAAAACATTAGGTATGATTTTTTATAACCTAAAAAAAAAAAAAAACCTATCGTAGGGTGTTTTTATTATTCTACTTAAAATCACATTAAAGTAAAACATATGCAAAACAAATTGTTCTTTTTAATACAAACATGACGTTTTAAGGAAAAAACCTATCGGTAATTTATTTTTCATATTGTAAAATTCTTATTTGGCAATTCTTGAAAGGTACAATACCATCATTTTTCTTTTTCTTTTTTTTTTTGGAATATTCTTGTTATTTATTTAAAAAAAAAATTAGTATATTATTACGCTCCTACTGAGATCGAAGGCCAACTTTACCACTGCGAACATCCACATGAAGGTGGTTCCAGCGCAGAACCAAAATAAAAGATGGCGGATGATTTGTTCTACATTGCCCGATCCTGCCCTTTATGCAATAAGATACTCTCAAGATGAAAATGAAGTTCTCAGCCTAGATGATGATTAGAGATGGGTTTCGTCTACAAAATAATTTCTTTTTCTAATGTAACTTCTTCCTTTGCATATTAATTAGTGCACCAATATTTATTTTTTTTTTTTTTTTTAATTCTGACGAACGAGTTTGGGTTATGTTCATTGATACGTAAACAAACCAATATAAATCTTGCCAACTAGACTAATCACGGCACTATTATGATATAAAACACCGTTTTACACGTTAATACCTTCTTAAACAATACTGTTAAGTGCAAAATACCCTATTCAATATGAATCTTGTTTTGTTCAGCTCAGCTCCTCAAGCACAATAAAAAAAGAAATCAACTTAATCGGACTTAACACGAATAAGTTATGCCATTTAAAAATAAAAAAAAACCTTACACGAATCCAAAAAATTCAAGATTTATAAAGGAACAAAAAATGTATTCTGATAGAAAATCTTAGATTTATAGTGCATTTATGAATAACACAATTTGTGTTTTGATGGTAAATCTTGGATTTACATGATGTAAATGTAGAATTTACAAGCAAAATTAAAAATGTTTATCTTATGTTAGTAAAGTACCAAATTTACCTTGTAAATCTAGGATTTTCGAAGGAAGAAAAATTTTATTCTGATAGTAAATCCTAGATTTACACTGTAAATGTTAGATTTACGAAAAAACATAATTTATGTTCTGATGGTAAATCTTGAATTTAAATGGTAGCAAGAATGATTGGCGATGAGAGAGAGAGAGAAAGAGCAAACCAGACCCATAAACGGTAGATAAAGAGAAAAGAGAAAAAGAGATCTGGAGGGAAATAGAAAAAGAGATCTGGAGGGAAAG